ATACAAAAATACCTCGTAATCTCTGATGTGGAACACGTAATATTTTTTAATACGAAACGAATGTAATAATTCATGCTTCTTGCAATATCTAGTCTATCATATTTCTTAATATCTGAAGTTACATAAGATGAAACTGAGGAAACAGTACGCTGCTGTGATTCTTCACCAAGCCTAATTTTTCTTACATACAGTATTTGAATTTAAAACATATATACAATATTTTTCAACTCAATTTGCATCATCGTAACAGGAATTAAATTTTGCAAATTGATCTAACAACCAAGCGAGTTAAACAAGAGTTCCCGCGAAGCGATCGGCCATAAAAAATGTATTCCTTCTCATGATCGCTTCACGTGACTCTATTGACAGACCTTGTACGCCCGTTAGATTCTATCGGCGCGTCTCAACGCTGGCCCCGATTAAGACATACGTAACACGGCGCGCGTTTACACGGTAATCGAGTAGTCCCGGTGAATCACTCGTATTAACAGACAGTTGCATCGATTCTCTTGGCTACCGTCCGCGCCGCGGTGACTTTGCAATTACCCGCGCAGGTTCGTCGACCGTTCATCCCGTTCGTTTCCTGACATAATCAATGCCGTTGCACCGTTCCCTTACGAAATCATCGAAGAATTTTCACGAATAAATCGCGGCTGATAATAGAGTCCATCAATTATTTCCCTGAATGTCCTCGTTGGATTCCTAATAAGGAATTCGTGACGAAGGCGACGTTAACAGAGGATGATAAAACTGAAACTGTTATCTGTCCTAATGTGTCCAGCGATGTTATCAGGCTCGTTTCCAAGCCTGTCCTTTGAGAGTCTCTCCCTCGGTATTCTCTAAAGCCCGGCGATCCTCGAGGGGTGGTTATTAGGCGGGGCGGCGGGAAACGACCGGTGGAAATTGGCATGGCACTTTGTGCCTGGACTTGATACGATATGTACGCACGTAGAACAGACAGCCGAGTTTCTGAAGTTGAATTGCACGTCAGCTCACGGGGGAAGTTGGGCAAGATTACGCCGCGAGGCCACGCAAAACGATATTGCTTCCGACGATTATTACACAGAGAACGGATTAAATCTGGCCAGCCAGTTTACCATTCTCATCGCATTTCTTTTTCTCTGCAATTCAATTTGATCCGGAGGAAGTTACCGCCCTTACAGATTAGCTGGTTTATTATTTCGCAGCTTTTCCAGTTACCAACGATTTAGCAGAATTATACGTCTCGTTAGATAAAAATCAGACGCTTGATTTAGGTTGTATGAACCCTTAATGACAAAGCATTGAAATTTTAATAGTTAATAGATATTTCAT